GATAGTTCTAATCAACATACTAACATTCATAGTTGTAGATATAATTATGACATCAAAGATTTTAAGCATACCTATGCATCCCGTAGAATGTAGCATATTCCATAATTTCTAGTCAATATAACATTCATCAAAGTCGTAACTTGGATTAAGGCATCCTGCAGGATCCGGAATAATTTTATAAATTCCGTCATTTCGCTAATGCTTATAAATTTTAGTCTAATCTAGGCGTACGTAAGAAATTCTTTTTCAAATACATAAATGGAAACTATCAATTATATATATATATATATAGTATAAAAAGGAAAAGACCCACTTACCTGAAGTCCGCGCTACAACTCCCTAGCACGAATATCGAGGCGTCACGAACGATGGTCGCCTAGAAAAAATATCAAATCATGTTTTAGAATTCTTATCAATAGAACACGTAACTTACATAAAACACATCCCCAAGGAAATTCTAGAATGATTTGAAACTCATTGACCAAAAGTCAACCGTCGGTGAAAGGTTGACGGTAAGGTCCACAACCCTACGTAACTCGATCCAGAAGATCCACACCTTAGATTTCAGATTCGTAACTTCCAAAGATCCACATTATGCTTCTAAAACAACATACTAAAATCTTACCACAATCCTACGATCGGATCTCCGCCAATCACAATTCAAGTGGCGGCCAACGTTTTATTTTACGAACTTACAAATCTAATTCGGAAAGATCCGTACATTGGATTCCCGATCCATAAGTTTCTATGGTTCTCAAATATTACGTACTATAATGTGGTAAAGTTTGGTGCCGATCCAACAGTTGGATCATCGATTGCTATAATGTTCAAGTGGCGGACCTCAGCGAAATTATACCCAAACAATGAAATTTCGTTAATCGGATGACAAATATGGAATCGGGGCATCCAAATTAGCTTAGGAAGGTCGGGTGGGGTCTCGGCCCACAAGCCGCCGTCCTAACTTGGCGGAAAATTCAACTATTTCCAAAAATTCTCAAATTTTACAGGAATAAAGATCTCAATGAGTAAAGCAAGTTTTATACTTGTGGCCAAGTCCAATTTGTCCGGGAAAAGCTCCAATTTCCCTTGAACTCGCCGAAAACCCTAGAAATTGGTGGCTTTGATCTGTCACCTCCGGTGCTTCGCCACCCCTACAATTGTTTAAGCTTTGTTCTAGGCCTCAAGAAGAGTGTTTTGCTGGTGGTAATTGAATGAAATCGTTTCACAAATGGTGGATCTCGGGCATGGTTTTCCACGGCACCTATGCTGGGTTTTTCACCAAACTTCAACTAAATTTCTTCTAATTTTGTAGTTCCGTAAAATTTTAACCGTAGCTCCGATTTCGATTCCACTTGCGCCTACGCGTTTGTATCATTGAGTACTTCAAAAATACGCTAAAAGAATATTTTGTACGTCTCACTATACATTGGTTAACGAAAGTCAATACCCTTGCATCTAAGACATTTTCGTAAATTCACATTTTTAAAATTTATAAAATCATAGAACTAGAGACGAGTTGTCACACCAATGTTTAGTCTAAAAGATATAAAAAATGTTGTAGGGGTTTCTAATTTCCTCTTATATTTTCTGGTTAATTACAGAAACACCCCCTGAGGTTTAGTGGGTTTTCACAAAATTCTTTCACGTTTGAAACATTACACTAACACCCCATGATGTTTTAATTTTCTTTCACATAACCCCTTTTGATCAAAAAGTCATATTAATAGGACAAATCTACCCTTATAATTAATCACTTGAATACTAAAAAAGATTTCTTCAAAAAAAAAAAAAAGGAAAAAAAAAAGAAGATATTTTATAAATACGTAGAAAGTCAAATCAAATTAAATATTACATTAAAAGATATTTAACTTTATAAATAAACCTAAATAAAAATACGGATGAAAAATAATAATAGACATGTATATTCTAGTGCAGATTCAATCTTTACCGTCCGACTATCTCTTAATATTTAACAAATTAACTCATTAATAGTATTGTTTGTCCAAACCCAGAACATTAACGTTTGTCCCTCGTCATCTTCTCTCTGGCTGCATTTTCTGGATCTTCAACTGCACAAACAAATTGCTTCACCTATTCGACTCTTTGAATCCATCTCCGTTGATGTTCTGAAATCTTCTCATGCTTTCTATATTTGATTTGAATATATTTTTTGTTGGCGTGAGTTGACTCCTCACTACAGTAGGATAGGGTTTATTGGTTTTATTCTTTTCCTGTATCATATATATACGAAGCATTCCAGAACCCTAAATTAATTAGCACATACGAACCAAGGGTGTTGCTGGGATTGAGTTGAGGAAAGGGTAGTTGGGGATTGTGGGTCGGCAGTGAAAAAACTAAGGGAAGTTAGATGTTTGGATTCAAGGGAGAACAAGATGGAGGAGGAGAAGATGTGAAATTCTGTCAATTTTTTTTTGTTTGTTTTAATGTTTTATTAATTTTTAATTTGATTTCTTTTTCTTTTTATTTATAAAGGTTTTGTTTTCATTTTTTTTTTCATTTTGTTTGTAAGTAATTCAGCATATCTGTGCAAATAATCGATTATAGTAAGGGTTTTCTAAGATTATAATATAAAGGTCTCATCGGTCCTTATTTTTATTTAATAGTTCGATTCCCGGCCCCGGTCATCTTTCTTCTAGCTTTTAGTTCTGTCTGGCGATTCCTTTAAATAAATATGTTCTACGTCCCCTGTTAGTGTTGGTCCTGTCCCGTACTCTATCTATCGATCTTATCTTAAGTGGATCAATCGCTTTTTCGGAACTCTTCCCTTGCTTGCTTCACTTCATCTCGCCTATAGTTCGATAGTATGGCACATTCTTTCTTTAGTAACAAACTGTAGTAAAAAGGCTTGTTCAAACAAACAAAAGATCAGAGGCGGTCAATGAACTATTGATTTGAAAGCGTAATCCGGGCCAATATTTCAAAGCGCGGCAAAGGCTTCTCTTCTGTAACTAGGGTTGGGTTTGAAAAACCGGACCGAAAACCAAACTGAAACCAAAAAAAATTGAACCGAACCAAATCTGGTTGGTTCGATTTTGATTTTTGAGGTCCGAAAACCAAACCGGACCAAACCAATATATATATATTTAATTATTTTTTTATAATATTTTAATTATAAAAATCATAAAAATTTTGAAAATTCCCAGAAATTTTGCTAGCATGAGGGTTCGAACTCCTGCCCTCCTTCAGCTTATGTGAAGTTGACTCCGACCACCACCATTAGCTTCTCTGAACTCCGACACCACCTAACAGTTCTTGTCGAAGCCAAATCTTCACTCAAAAGGTATTCAATTTTAGGGATTTAGGAAGAGTAACTTAGGGTTTTCTAGATTTAGGGATTTTTGGTTATTGATATATTTAAAATTTGTGCTATTCGTGAAGATGTGATAGAGTTTTCATTTCAGTTATAGAGAAAAAAATGGGTGGAGATGCATAGAGGTTTTAGATTCAATAGACGGACATAGAGCAAACAAAGTATGGGTTGCAGATTATGGACTTGTGCACAAGTTTCCTCCTGTTCCTTTCTGAAGGATGCTAAGAAACTTCTTACTAATTATTACATGTGAACATGATCATATTTCATTCACACACTTCTTACTAATTTATTTCATCAGTTTTGCTCTCGTATTATTTATCCATGTCGGTTTCATCTTATTGTTGGAACATGTATGTAGTTTGACAAGTTTTGAGACAATGAACTCTTCTATATGGGTGGAATATGATTTCCAGTTTATGGATTAGTACCAATATCTAGATTTAAAAAAAATAAATAAAAAATTCATGGCAAAAAACCAAACCAGGATGAAACCGAATCAGAAAAAACCGAACCATTTTGAACCAAACCAGTCCTATCTATAACTGTAGAAAAAGCTGTGCCTAAATTCTTTTTTGTAATTGTAAACAAAGCGACTTTCCCTCTTCTGCCTTCCGTCGCCTTAAGACTCATAGAGGTGATCCAAGAAGTTCCCTTAATGATAGTGAACTAAGGTTTTGAAAATAATCGTCCAAGGCATCGAGTAGGAATGATCGGTGAAATCAGCCTTCCTTGCCTTACCAACTTAAAGCAGTTAATAATATATGTCTACCTGCCTCAATGCTCATTGACTTATTGGCCACGTTACTGAGTTCTTAGGAACGAGCATGGAAGAATGCCGTTGCTGATAGATCCTGCCTAGATCAAGAGCGGGATTTTTTAGAAACAAAATTTTAGTGGTCGCTATTGCCGTCCTTGCCCTCAAGACTAACAAAGATATCATTGAGACTTTTCAATGAATACCTCGACTGATCTAGAAAAACAAGTTAATAAGGGTAGATTTGTCCTATTAATATGACTTTTTGACCAAAATGGGTTATGTGAAAGTAAATTAAAACCTGAGGGGGTGTTAGTGTAATGTTTCAAACGTGAGAGGGTTTTGTGAAAACACAATAAACTTTAGGAGTATAACTGTAATTAACCCTTATATTTTCGTAACAATCAATACTTAAAGAGGAAATTATAGTAATGGTCCATCAACTTTAACTCTAATAGAGTAATGCTCATCAACTAAAAATTTGTAACCATAGGTCTCTTAACTCATAAAAAAAGGTGCAACTATAGTCATTTGCGTCAACTTTGTTAGAACTTCCGTTCAAATGAGTCACGTGCCACGCACGTGAGGTTGAATCAAGAGGCAAATATGGAAAACCAAATGAAGAAAATTGTAGCAATGATCCTTTAACTTTAACTCAATTGGAGAAATGGTCATTTAATTTTACTCCAATTTAAGCAATGGTTCCTTGACTTTAACCCAATTGTTGCAATGTTTCTTCCAACATAATTAACGGAGTTGATAAAAAAGACCATAATTGCATATTTTGATGAGTTAAATGATTAATAATGATCATAAATTTTAATTAAGAGACTATTATTCTAATTGAGTTAAAATTAAGGAACCATTTCATCAATTTTCTCATATTTAAAACTTAGTTGGAAATTGAAATACTACACTACGTTGTAAGTAACTAGCGGTGGGGAGCGAAAGTGCATCCTCCCTCCCACCCGTCAGCTCCTCCGTCCCTCCCAACTTTCCCCGACTTTCCCACCCCTGCAAAATATTCCCGGAAAATTTGACAGACGAAAATACCCATCACAAACCCAAAAACCCAAGCTAGAATTTCCCACTACACTTCACTTTCTCACTAACCAAACACTCCAAATACCCACACAACCCCCACCATCTTCCTCAAAACCCTAAAAAAACCCACCCTTCCATTTCTTCTATTTTGCACCCTACGATTGTATCTGCAGCGAACGCCATGGCCTGATTGAGGCACAACAGTGTCTGTAAATACAGTGAAATCTAGGAGAAGAAGATATGGGGGCTTCGCTCTCGAACCTGACGGAGGGGACGAATGGGGCGGGTCATGGACCGGGTCTTGGCGACATACCCGAGAGCTGTGTGGCCTGCGCGTTCATGTACCTGACTCCTCCTGAGATTTGCAATCTTGCGAGGCTCAACAGGGCGTTTCGCGGTGCGGCGTCGTCTGATTCGGTTTGGGAATCCAAGTTGCCCCCAAATTACCATGATCTACTCGATTTGGTGCCTCCTCAGAGGTACCAAAACCGCTCGAAAAAGGACATCTTTGCCATGCTCTCCCGCCCTGTACCCTTCGACGATGGCAATAAGGTGTGTTTTTAATTGGGAACTAGGGTTTTGGGTGATTTCTTAGGGTAATTTTGCAATTAAGGGTTTTGGGTTTGGTGGAATATGACTGAATTTGCTCATTTTTTGGATGTGTTTGGTGGGTTTTGCAGGTGGTATGGATAGACACGGTCACAGGAAGGGTTTGTATGTCGGTTTCTGCCAAAGGGATGGCGATAACTGGGATTGAAGATAGGCGATACTGGAACTGGGTTCCTACTGAAGAATCTAGGTTAGCTAATTATCTGTCATCTACTAGTTTGTGCTTTTGATATGCATGGTTTGTTCACTTTCTTTGTTTTGGAGTACATGGTTTAGGTTTTGAAAATTTAATTAAGCTTACGCTCATTCAGTAAGTTTTCTTTGTTTGTTTATTTATGAAGTTTTTTAGCACTGAGTAGTTATATTGACCAAATGAGGGGAGAAGTCACAAATTCTCAAGGAAATGATGTTCGTGCTTGAATGATGATTATATCTTTTGTTTCATCAGGACACTATTTCTTGCCATTTGGGTTCTTTGGCCTTCTCTAATAACTTGTTAGAACATTTGGTAATGAGGGATTTGAACTTGAGGCATCTATTTCTAAATGGTTGCCAACTAGGTTATGCCTGTCACAAAATTTGTCTCAAAAGAGAACCATGGCATCCATCTTAAAGGATCGTGCACTCACATGGTGTGAGCACCAGTGGAGTGCTAAGCAAAAGTTTGGCTCACACGAGTGGTGGTCTTGTAGGTTTTCCTACTACGATTGTATTTTATTGTAGTTGAATGCAAATTTGTCTCCCACATGTAATGGAAATGCTATATTTATCAGGGAGGTGAAAGAAAATATTTTTTGAATATGGGAAGGAAAGATGTGGAAGTATTTCATGGTACTGTGGACGTCTTTCTTATGTGGCAGCAGATTGCCCACGGATTAAGATTAGGTTTCTATAGGTGCAGTTCCATTTTATAATTAGTGCATTGTGCTAATTTTGTGGATTGGAGTCTGGTGAACTATGTCTCTATGTCATTATTGGGGTTGACATGTATTTGATGCAAATGTTTAGAGGATGCGTAAAAGAATAAAAATTTGAATCTTTATAGAAGTCTTTAGAAATAGCTGACTTTACAATTTGCAAACCTGAGTTTCTAATTTGTAATCGTTGTTGGTAGATTCTCTGTTGTTGTAGCAAATTATGTCCCTGCTTAGTTGTTTTATATTTGAGAACGCTTCTCCATATGATCTTTCTTGTGACTGGCTTGATGTTGTCAGTTAATTGGTCATCTGATATAATTACACAGTGCACATGTCCGATGAAAAACTATGGTCCAACTATTCTATATCATTGTATTTCTGTACATTGGGAGGATCAGATGAAAAACTATGGTCCAACTATTCTATATCATTGTATTTTTGTACATTGGGAGGATCAGCTGAGATCACGTTATTCTAGTGACCACTGGGGATTTAAGATGTCTTTCTAGCTTAGAATATTCTAAGTTGGATGCATTAAGCCTAAAACCCACACGTTTTTATCCTTTAGGAAAATACATGTATAAAAAGTCAGATAAGCAAGTGATGCTACTTATTTCATGTGTTCTATATTCAACATGTTCTGTAACTGGTTTTATTGGTTTTTGTAGGGAATTTCTCATTTGCATACCACTCATACATCAGTTAACCCAAAATAGATTCCTATCTTAATTTTCTGCTGGTTTGGGACTCTAATCCAAAACCTGTATGTTATAATCTTTATTTTCCCAAAGTGAAACTGTTCAGCTTTATTAAAATGGCTCGCTATGGTTTCATTCGAGGAGAGAGCAAATGCAATTAGTAAGTTCCAGTTGGAATACAAGGTTTGTTGTTAGCTAAATGTACAATATTTCCTATATTATGGAGTTTTGCTTTACTAGAAACACACCCGTGATACCTTAATATTAGAAATATTGTGAATGTACAGATATATGGATCACTGGATAGTGCACTGCCAAACTATGAATGCAGCCTAGGTGAAACTGGAGGTATAAAAGATCAGAGCCTAAAAGTCTAAAGTACAAAACATCAATCGAATTTTAGTTGCTCTTGACACAGTTATGTCAGGGTCTTCTAGAAATCAAGGTTGATCATGGAAGTAGAAAATATTCTACTTGCTCATTCAAATTCCGTCCTATCTTTCGATTCTCTCCATCCAAGTGTATCCTTTAAAAACAATATATAAATTTTTTATTTTTTATTTATTTTACAAGGGATCTGTGTACTCCATATGGCCAACTAGAAACTTTTCAAGGTCAGTGGAGATTCGGGTTGGCCTATGTCAAACTGAAAAGGGTGAAACAGAGTCATTATGGAAGCCACTAAATAATTAGTGCGTTTCTTTCTGCAGGGTTTCTTATGTACTAGTTTCTTGTGCGGAATCAGAAATGCCAATGTAGTTGTCACAAGACCAGAGAGATAGCTTATGATTTTCTGGGACTGGGGCTGCCACTATTGATGTTTTGCGTTTTTAATTCTTTTACATCAATGTATGGTTAATAATATTCTCTTTTGGGTCAGTTATCATAATTAAACCATTAATTGTAAGTTACACCAGCTTGCTGTTTATTCATTATTTCTTCATTTTTGCTCTGTTTTTTTATAGATGTTGATGGTCCGTGTGCTCTGTTCTTTATTTGCAGGTTTCAGGTTGTGGCTTATTTACAGCAAATATGGTGGTTTGAAGTAGATGGGGTCGTGAAGTTTCCTTTTCCTGCTGATATCTACACTTTATCTTTCAGGCTTCACATTGGAAGATTCTCAAAAAGATTGGGACGACGTGTCTGCAACTTTGAGCACACCCACGGTTGGGATATAAAGCCCGTGCGATTTGAGTTGTCAACTTCAGATGGACAGCAAGCATCATATGAATGCTGCTTGGATGAAATCGAACATGGGGATGCATATGGAAACCATAAGCGCGGATGCTGGGTTGAGTACAAAGTTGGTGAATTTACTGTCACCGATACCGATCCTGTAACAGAAGTCAAATTTTCCATGAAACAGATTGATTGCACACATTCAAAAGGTGGGCTATGCGTGGATTCTGTGTCTATCGTCCCCAGTGATTTGAAAGAGCGTAAAAGAAGAGGGGTCTGGAAGTAAGCCGAGTGCTGAACAGGGTAGTTGTTCATTCACATCAGCAATCCCGTAAGGTGTTCTGGAGGATGTCATCTTATTTGGTTTTTGCAGTAGGTTTGTGTCCTCTAGGGTTTATGTAACCTCTGTTCATGTATGTGATCCAAGTTTTGTTCCATATATACCTTTGCAGATTAGGTTGAGTGAATACACTTTGGTATTGCCTTGTGTTTGTCAGTTGCTCACTGTAAAGCATTTTGTAACCTAGATATATGTGATGCCTCTTAACACTGTTTCCATTGATTTCATAGATGTTAGATTATTGGAAAATCATGGAAATAATTTCCTGTTAATTCGTAATTGTATGCCATCTAGAGTACAACAGTTAGGTTTTATCCTATTAAGTGGAGTTGTATAAATACTAGAACATCACTGAACTTCGTTTTGCATTATGTCTTCCACTAGCTCCAAGTCCTCCATATTTTTTCTTGAAGTTGCTTTTTGAGTCTTTTCAGGTCTTTCTCTATTCTTTTTGCCCTGAGCTTTCATCTCATAGTTGCATCTTCTAACTGGAGCATATGTAGGTTTTCGGTTCACATGTCCAAACTATCTTAATCAATTTTCTCTCATCTGGTCTTTAATTGCACAAAATTAGAAAAGTACAAAGTGTCATTCATCCCTAACAAATAACGTATTTTCATTGGATAAACTTCATTATCAGAACCATGCAATTTTTAAATCCTTGTTCAAAAAAAAAAAAAAAAAAAAAAAAAAAAAAAACATTTAAATGGGATATTGTTTAATAATTCAAATTAAATAAATATCAAGCTGTCGGTTTGTTTCATACATTTGAATAATTAAACGAACTATAATTTGGATAATTTTTTGTAGCAATGACCTTCAAATAATGAAGATTAAAAAAACGAAAATATGAGAATTGGGTTAGTGCTAGTATGACACGACCTTGATGTAGTTACTCTGTTCAGTTAATGGAAGAGGAGACACCTGACCCAAAACCATCATTTGTATTAACCCAAACCAAATGAGAAATTTTAACAAAAAAAAAAAAAAAAACCAGATGAGAAATGTCATTAACCAAACATAGAGAATTAATATTAGAAATACATACAGCCACTGAGGAAGAAAGATTTTTTGCTGGTGAAGAAAAAAGGTACATATTAAAATCAAAAGGAAAAGGATTATTCAAACATGCCTGCAATTAATTTAATTAGTCTTTAATCAACCATTCAAATGATCATTATTTCAATTAAGTTTTACGTGATTAATCGAATCGAATAGATTGGCATTGATTCAATCCCTCTTTGATACCATTGCTTCCGTACATGCATGTCTATGCTACCACTGAGTACGTGCACTTGCACTTGAAACTCTAATTTTAAATTTAAATTGCTTCAATCCAACAGAAGACGAAATTATGTCAACTAATCGAACCCATCGCCTTATGTCAATTAATAATTCATTGTTTCTACTCTAATTCACAAAAAAAGGTACTGCTACGGAGTGTTGATGATTTAATTAATTATTATTTAAGTACTGGTTAACGTGTTTATTTTTTTATTAGTTACATATCACATAATTTGTAAATTTATTCTAAAATATGGGTGCATTTTTGCTCTCTACCTTCAAGTGATGGTAATACTCATCATCTATTTATCATCAGACCTCGTAATTTAAACTCATTTAACAGATGATAAATAAAGTGACGAGTATTACCATCACTTAAGGGATAGCAAAAATATTCCCCTAAAGAATTGGTATACCTACCAAAGAATTTAACTTTCTCTTCCTTAGTGTACTAGTATAGCGTAATGCGTGGAGGTAAATCATCATATCCTTACAAAGAAAATACTGAGCTCAGGCCCATTATTCCCTTCTGGGCTCAGCATGTACAAAGTTTCCGAGTCTTTTGAGCCAACGACACGCTCGAAGAGGGCGCGCATGTATGCTATTTCACCATCCGAGCCCTCAACCTCGAACTTCCCGGGCAACACACCTGCGCCCATAGTCACTGACTTGAGAAGTTCCATAACATTCAAGTCCTCCTCCGTGGCCTCCCTCTTCATCCCATGCCCAGTCTTCTTCCCATTGCAGTACATGGTCCACCCTGGCTCGTCGATAAGCCTCGTCTTGTCCTTGTCCGCCCTCTTCTCGCATTCCAACGCGATTCTGACCATCCCTGTCCCCATCTCCTTCTGTAGCACATTTGTCTGCATGGCCAGCTCCACCACCAGGCTTGGAAGACACTTGGGGGTTTCTTGTACTGAAAGGGACACGCGTCCCTTCCGGTACCCAAACAGTGTTCCACTGACCCGGTTGCCAGAGGAGATGGCCCTGCTAGAGTCAAGCCTGCCCATGGGGAGCGATGGCATCTTGCAGGCGTGGGTGATGATGGGGAAGGATCGGAAGACAGAGCGAAAGACGCGGAAGACTTTGGTTCTGCTTTTCTTTTTATGGGATGGTTCGAGAAGGGAAGATTGCTGGCGGGGTAGCGGTGGTGGCGGCGGGACAGTAGATGACGAGGATGTTGTGGCTACTGCAGTCGTCTGATGATCTTGTGATGTTGGAGATTTCGGCTCCCCCATTAATGGCTTTGCTGACGAACCAGAAATGGGAGAATGCCATGAGAGAGAGAAACAGAAGAGAGAGAGAGAGAGAGAGAGATAGAGTACTGATCAGACGGGAAGGAGAGAGAGAGAGCGGGGGTGGGGAGAAGAGAGAGAGAGAGAGAGGCTGAATCTAGTCGTTATGGTTGTTATGGGATTTGCGGTTTTGTTGCCTTTGCTAAGCTTAAATTCTGGTCGTTGACCATATCTCTATTTTTATTTAGAACAAACGATATTATGACAATATCTCTATTTAGTCTTTACTCTTTACTTAAGTATTTTCAGAGCATTTTTGCTGATCATCATAATTATGGTCAAGGTTCTAAAATATACTAGACGCTAGTCGGTCGGCAGGTTGGGGCCTAGTGCCTAGGCGGCTAGGTAGGGTCTAGGCGAGCTCCTAGGCGGACTAGGTGGACTAGGTGGATTTAATTAAATCTATTATATTTCGTGTAAATAAATGTTTATTTATACTTAAAATATATATAATTTTATCATAAACTGCAAAATATAATGACATATATACTATGAGCTATTGGAACATAATGAAAACATTGGAAACAAGCATATAATTTGTGTTCATTTAAGTGTTCAACAAGTTTCTTACAATTTATTGAAAAAAATAAACTGCAAAATGAAAGTTATATATTTTTTGTCTAAGTGAGTCGCAACCTAGTTGGGTTTTGGCGGGCTAGGCGGGTGCCTATGCGGTCTAGTCGGGTGCCTTAGTAGGTCTAGGTGCCCTTTCTTAATTTTCAAACACCTAGGCATTAATCGGGATGGTGACCAGCTGTTTAGCGCCGAACAATGATTATGGTATTTGTTTACTATGCACCTAATCATCTGACATCCTTTCATCTAACTATAGTTAACATGCATTTAAAATGTTATCATTTCAATTTTGAAAAAAATAACCAAAACCAAATGAAAGGACATGTGGTAAATAATTTGGCATATGATGAGGATACACCATAATTTAGGATAGTGAGAAAAAATGCTCCCTATTAATTTACCTTGTAAGGAGGACCTTATTAATGCAATGGTTTGACCAATTACTTTTTATTTTTTTTATTTTTTATTGGAGCGTGACCAATTACTTGATTGTTGCAATCCTAATAGTTAGATATGTGATTGTGTAAACTATTAAATCATGGGATATCCTTGTAGGGTTCCTCTATATCATATCTTTAGATATTATCTTATTAGTATTGTAATCCTATTGGGGGTAAGGAATTAACATTCCATATTACTATAAATAAAGGCACAATGGGGATGGGAACACACCTCATAGTTTACCTAATTCTCCCTATGCTTGCCACACACTCTCTTGCAATCTCTTTATAATTCTTCAATCAAATAGGCATACAACACATTATCAGCACGCTCTACACTGCACTAAAGAGAGTTTGTTCATTTTCAACTAGGAGAGTATTACGTTTTAGTCATTCTTTTGTGGTTAACATTATTTTATTAAATTGATCTACATGTTATTGATTCAATTTAATTTTTCTATGTTGAACGTGATATAACGCATTGGAGATGCAATTCCGGCTTTCTGAGTAGGATCTTCTACAAATTCAAAGGCTCAATTTTGTTTTTTCCCAATCAAGTTCTCATAAAATCCAAGTTTGATACTTCCAACGATCATGATGCATGAACCCCTACATTTATATTTACCTTCCTCTATATATATATATATTGTATATTTCATATATGCAATTTATAAATTCATGAGAAATTTGTGAGTCAAAGAAAAATAAGAAAATAGAAGTATGAATTGGGTTTTGAAAACCCTAACTGAAAAAAGAAAAAAAAAAAAGAAAAGAAAAAAAAGAGAGGAAAAATCGAGCCGAGCCGCTGAGCTCACTGAGCGGCGGCTTGTAGCTGTTGAGCTGAGCCACAGCCCTGGTTGATCAGCAATTAACCTAGCTGCCGATCCGAGCCGCCTTTGCGCTGAGCCGAGCCGTTGGTCGGGCTTTAGTTTGAAACGACGCTGTTTAGGCGTTTGGACTCCTCTATCCCGCGTTTGGGCTTGCTGCGTGCACCACTGACCAGGCCCATTGCATGGATCTTCTTTTTCTTAGGCCTAACGCCCTCCAGCTGGCCTTCAGCAGCTTTCCGCGCTGCTATGTTTTCCTCTACCTCGGGCCGCATGCTTGCAACTTGCATATATAAGCGAGTTGGGTTGACTTGCAATTTTACCTTAGGTCCGTCTAACAAGGCGCCAACATTCCAATGCTGGGCTGCGACCCTGTTTTCAACCCGGTGCCACGTTTCGGCACCCGTTGTTTCTTAGCTCCACCTAAATATTTTAGGGTGTTCCTGGCTAAAGCCCCTATTAGGCTATAATTTCTTAATCGTTTGGGCAGAAGCCATCTAAAGTGAATATTACCTGAACATCATTTTTTGCTTTCAATAAAGAACCCGAGTGGTCTTGATCTATTAAATTAATTTAAAGTGACCAGCAATTTATTAATTTGACAAAATCCAAAATTAATGGCCCAATTTTTTTTTTTGAGAAATTAACAATTCAATATTTTATTATTTTTCTTTGATATGTTGACATCATTTTGTAGTCCCGAAGCTACTCACACTTGAGTTCCTGAAGCAACCCAAATTCACTACACTTAAGTTGTATAATGTATTCTTACATGTACCTCCTTTTATGAACTGGAAGTTTATACTAAACTCAATCTTGTAGGTTATTTAGTGCCTTTGAAACCCGAAGTTTTCATAAAAGAGTACACCCATGCAAACCCATAGTTTTTCATGCAAACGATGTCTTCGAACCCGAGTGTTCTAACTTTGATGCTTATGGATGTTTTATTTCCCATAGCACCAATCACAATCTTTTCCCCACATTCAGTGGATTGACGAATGATGCGAAAATTAACTTAACACACAAATTAACCATTTTTTGACAATTGTAGTATATAAGTAAGTAGGGATCGTTCTTAAAACGGGGATTAGGAGGGATTGCTAAACACTTTAAACTGACTCAAATAACTAAAACTAAACTTTAAAACACTTAACTCAACTTAAAAGACTCAAAACAAGTTCACAAGACTCAAAATAAGCTAAAACACTCAAAACTGCCTAAAACACAAACTGGGCAGATTTGACTTTAAACACAAATTTGGACGAAATTTGGTTCTAACTTGACTCAAAACACTTGAAAACACAATCTAAAACAGATTCTAACTAGTTAGACACTCTAAGTTAAAGGGGGATTTGGTTTTGGACGAAAATAAAGTAAACAAAGACAAGACTTTAAACTAGGCAGAATTCACGAATTTGATGGAATTAAGTGGATGATGGGCTAGCTAGGAGGTCTTTCTCCACACATGACATACTTGCATACAAAACAAACTCCAGTTGCTTTTTCAATGAATCATTAACCTCAACACCCCAAGTTAATTAGGTACGCTTAAATTAACCTTCAGATTTTCCTTACGTCATTGAATTGAATGGAATTAGCGCATTGCAATCAAATTATTCCTCAAAAGTTCTCTACATGAAAGCGCATAATAGAGAAACAATCAAAGATCATTAAATTCTATGAAAATCATAAGTGTTGACAAGGCGTTCGTAACTATGAAAGAGCATTATACTTATGTCAAGAATTTACTTAACATGATTGTGACTAACAACCTTTACTACTTATGAATATAAGTTCACAACGATTAGGTGAAGCTTCCTCATATCCTAGCATCAGATTTATGCATGCAAATTAAGTGTGCACTCTCAATCCATATACATAAACAAGTTTTAATTCAAATAGATAAGTAAATTGAATTCACAATTCATGAAATCACAACTGGAAGTAATCAAATCATAATGCAAATATAGCCATGGTTTCGAAATTCCCCCTAGCCAAAAGGGGATTAGTTCCTCATACTCACAAAGCAAAGATTCTTGAAATTAAACATTGAAAAACACAAGAAAGATTACACCTAAAACGTTCCAGCAATTCTAAGTCGAATGGCTTGCACGGCTAGGGCTTTCCTTCTTCTTCCTTGCTGTGGAACAAGGTGTGGGTGATGGTTTTGGGGGTTATGAACGATGTATTCTTCCTTGGGATGATGAATGATGGCTGATTATGGTGGTAGAGTGCGGCAGGTTGTATATGGAAGTGTATGGAGTGAATGAATGAAGGAGAATGGAGGCTAGGGCTTGCGGCAAGGAGTTTCTGAATAACATAAGGGGGTGATACGAATTTGTGGCTGAAAATATGTTTATATAGTCCTAGGGTTAATTAGATTAGGGTTACACTTAGCAGATTTATTGGATTAGGGCCCTAGGGTTCGGCAATAAGTGATTAAATCCACCTAGGAGGGGGTTTGGCCTAATTAGTTTCATAAAAGGATTTGTGTAACCCAAATCCACAAGGAATAAGGCCCTAAAAATTAGAATCCAAAAGGGATAGGGCGTAGAGGGTGCGGCACATATTGGAGGGAAGGAGGGAATGGCTTGCAAGGCAAGGCAAGGCCTTCTAGAAGGGAATAGGCGCCACCTTTGGAGGGTTTCTAGAAATAATGTGGTTTGTGGCTGATTTGGGACTTCTAGAAGAGAATGCTTCTAGAAATAGGTTCTAGAAATATCTATTTAGGTCCCCTTGCAGCTAGGATTAAGGCATGATAAGGTTAGGATAGGATCAGATAAGATAAGGTTTTGGATAATGTTAGATAAGGTTGGATAAGGTTTTAGATAATGTTTCCTATTTTGAGCTACTTCCTTATCCACTTTGTCTTGAGTTTAATTCCTTCATCTTCTCATTAGATTTCTAGCCTTTTGAACACCAAATTCGTCCATCCATGTTGGCCCATATACAAGCTATCCATTTAGTGCCCAAAATTGCTCCAAAATGCACCAAAATGCACTTTCTTGGTACTTTAACCCTTTGGACCTACAAGCACACGAAAATGAGTTGAAATACTACATTAACTAAGAAATAATAACACAAATGCACAAGAATAAGCTAGCTAAGTCGCCTAAATATGCTCCTATCAACGAACTGTCACCAGTTCGATTTTTTGATAGAAACT